TTCCAGGAGTTCTTTCTTCTTCTTTCGACGCCTTTCTTCGAGGGGCTGGGCGACTGGAAGACCGGCAACCGGTAGGAAACTACTCTGTGGTGCAGAACTGACGGCTTGTCGACTAAAAGCCCCGCCACTTACAGGGGTCTTCGGAACAGTCTCCTGGTTGGTCGTAGTGGCTGAAGATGAGAATCCCGTGACGTCGTCCTCTGTATCTACAGGTATCGTAAAGAAACGCTTATTACTTAAAAGGCTACAGTTACATTAAGAAAAACTGGAACTTCAACTAAAGTGAGCAAGATCTTTTGTCAGAACATGGTTAACCTACAGACTTTGGCAGATAGTATTGCCGACAAAAGACAAGGGAGATTGGAATGGGACAGATGTGTTCCGTTAGCGGTCGGTGACCGTTAGTCAACGAATGTCAATATCCTCCGACGTAAACCGGCAAGACAACGAGCTCGTGGCTCAATAGTCAGTGTTAGACCCTGGTCAAAAGGATCGCGAGTTCAAACCTCGGGTGGTGCACCACTTGGGGCTGGGTATGACGAGCTGATAACGGCTAATAAGGCAGAAATAGACAGTCCAGTTTCCCATATCTTTACCGGCAATAGCACCAACAATGCATAAGTCGGTCGCTGCCAAAACTCTCCAGAAGAAAGCATTCAAATAGATCTTGTGCAATTTATTCAACTGAACTAGAATCCGGTGACGTCGTCCTCTGTATCTACAGGCGCCATAATGATACCTTTCTTATCTAAAAGGCTACGGTTACGTTAGGGAAACAATGGGACTTAAAATAAAGTGAGCAAAATCTTTTATCGGATCATGGTGACTGTACAGAGTTGGGCTGCGTTTCTTGACAGGACCGTATGATGTATACGTCAGTCGTTGTTATAACCTCGAGAAGGAAACATTCAAATAGAAGATGTGCAATTCATTAGTTTCTGGTAGTATATCGCAAGCTCTGCGGTCTAGTATGAACATCCCGTAGGTACTCAGCTTTCGACATGCAGTGCGTCCGACTGTAATCTAGTCTTCTGGTGCTTGGGCTGCAGTGCGCATGAGCCGAGGCGCCTGACTAACTGGCGCATTTCGATGTCGGGTCTCTTTTATCTACCTGCGCTCGTTGATTATGTCAACCCCGTAATGTTGTGCACATAGGCGCCTTAGATTTTAAAATATAAATTTGATCTGCCTGCGACCTTCTTCTACCGATGTCAGTCACTAGGGTGCACATCAAGCATTATGTCAGACTTGAGCACCTTGCACTGATGGGCCGCTAGGTCACAAGTTCTCATGCTCCAACAGCAGACAGTCGACGAACGAGAAGTTAGGGCCAACAACTATAAAAGTCAGAATGAAATTACTGACGAAGACAAAGGAAATTAGAATGAGAAAACGACGATTCGATCGCCACAACTTTAATTTGTCTGACGTTTCGATATTGGTCAAGGATTCATCATCAGAGACATAAGCAGAAAGCAAAAGCAGAAATGGTCATTTCTGGTTAGTTAGCCGTCATCAGCCAGCCATACTCCACCCCAGGTGGTGCACCAGCGGAGGTTTGAACCCGCAACCTGTTGATCAGAAGGCCAAAAGTTTAACCATTGAGCCATGGGCTCGTTGGCCTGTCGGTGGTAATCGAGCGCAATGTATAGAGCGTTGGCGTTCTAATTTAAAGGTCGCGGCTTCGAGTCTCATAGGTTACAACACCCGAAGATGACTATGGCGGGCTTATGATGAAAAACAAACCAGAATTGATCATTCCAGGTTCCCTTGGCTTTGTCCATAATGGTATTCTGTCCGCGATACTAGCGGCAGTGTGGCTGCTGTTGGGGTTTGAGAGAGGGCGAGATCTGCAAGACACAACGCGACGACTATGTCCCCTAACGCGATCGGTGAGCGCGCCATTTCAACTATCAAACTGCCTCGAATAATACGACTGTTGAAGGCAAAGTATCTTTTTTGAAAAGTAACTATATTCTATAAACTTGATAGTTCAACCATCATTGCCGACGATGACCCCTCGGGTGTCCAACAAAATGGAACGCGCAGAGAAGGTGACTTGGATATGATTTAGTATATAGCGATAGATTCTATAAGTCACTTATAAACGCATTGAGAGGAGAAGACATGAGCATAGGAAGCCCCGTAAGCTTGCGCTCAATGCTAACGAGTATAACATTTGGACACAGACCTAGGTACGCACTCGGGTCTAGAGCAAGGCCACTGACAATGCTGCGGGTGTCTATTGCGCAAAAATAAAGTTGAGAAGAAAAAGAGATGCACAAGCTGCCCACTGTTCCATCAGTCTAACATTTTCGTGCGGTAGACTTGTAGTCTCGAACTTGCTGGGGGTGAAAAGGTCGACATTCAACTGCCATCTGTGAGTGTTCGAGAGATGCAACAATTGTGCTAAATTTGGAGAACTTCAAAAATGCCGGCAAACTCAAAACTGGGGGGAAGGAGACGCAATCGCAGATAGAAGAAATTGATGATTGGCTGTCTGAGGAACGACTTAACAAAATAATCGCCTACGCACATAGCTGGATAACTCTGAAATAAATCACACTTCAAAAAAAAACGGCTAACACGCATCTCTAAAAATCTTTGCGTAACAGTTACAGTTGCTTGGTTTATGCAAGCCCACAAATGTCTTTAAAATTGGCCTATATGTCTGAGAAAAATTATAATTCCGCCAAAAAGTGATGCTGCTGAAAAAGTGATCGATACTACGACATAGAGGTGCTGTACATTTTTAGTGAATAATATAAATACGATTTAACCCGATGTATATATTTTAGTAAAACAGAACAAGATACTCCAACGGGGAAAATCAAAGCTCCTCAACACATTAACTTCGTCACGCAGAGAGTGTATGAATGAAGAGTATGATTAACCATGCCTTGCCTCATCTTCCCAGAACCATATAAACGCTGCACCTAGCGGACTATTTCATTCTTCATGTCAATGCATCGGCCTAACGATGAATGACGACAAAAAACTATTTGCCGATCTACCTTTTCAATCGCAACCTGCGAATTTTCGCAGAACAAAACTCAAAACAGTTGCAAAGTTAGAACATTCCCGAACAGGCTTTTTCAGAAGTGTTTTTACAAAGTTTACATCTAGGCAAATAAGTAAAAAAATGCCTATGGTGTAGATCGCAGAAGTCAGCTAAAAAATGTAGTATGCATAATGACTTAAAATAAAGGTGCATTCCACTAAAAAGTTTTTCTCTAAAAATTAGCCTTGGTTATAAGTGAACTTATGCCTGCCGCACAAGCCAGTTTAGAAATTAGTAAGCACACAAACAGGAGGGCGTATTTTATCACAAAAATTAAAATCACTGGAGGAACACCGCAAATTGGAGCCGAGAGTGCCCGTCTTTGGCAGGCTGTTGAATGTTATTTCAAAGAAGGCGAGTGGGGCTACGATTAAATTTAAGTTTACTTCGAGGTTATAGACCAAGACTTGACTGATTGGTCGTTTCATCATTTCGAGAAGATAGCTTGTGATTAGATCTCTCTGTAGCCATTGCAGGATGACCTGTCTGCCCAGAGAGGGAGTTGTCACTTTGATGGACTAGATGGCCATCTGCTCGAGTTGGTAACCTCATTCAAACCCATCTGACACTTAACTCCTGCTTGGGCG